TTAAGAAAATATCTTCATTTTTAACGTGACGCGATATAACATATAGGCATATATATAAATAAAATAATAATACGCACACGTTTAAATCGATAAAAATTAAAAAAATTGATTAATTTTTTCCCCGAAAGCACAGTATTGCCCGAAGACACTATCATCACCTTACGACCAGTTCTGAAGTGTCTAGTGCACAGCAATCATTAGCTAGGGACGGCCATCTAAGATTTCTGATGGTGACAGATAAGGGATGTGTAGTACACTCCCCGAGGCCTATATGTCCATGCTTGGACCATCCTACTCCGACTTGAAAACTCATCAATCATACCAGGCCTCACATTAGCATATTCGTACCACCTTTAACTTCCTACATGCTTTATTCATACAGTTTGTCTAATTGAAATCGGTTCTTCTATGTTCAGTCGTAGCTGTAGGCCAACTCTATACTCCTTGAAATATAATATGATAGGGCATATATACCAAAGTAGTTAGAACGTAAATTATCATAATGCATTTTCATATTAACTGATAAAAAAAAAAATACTAAAACTTTGAGTGTGCACTACTTCAGCAATTTGTTCTGTAGAGTGTTTTATTGTTTAAAAAATTTTCCATTAGATATTTTAACAAAGTTCGAATTTAATCAAAACATTTTCATTCCTTAGAAATATATTTTTTAAAAAAGTACGTAGGTGAAGAAGTAATCCAAAAAATAAACATTCTTTTCACTTCAACACTTTAGACAGGTGAGTCATATCAAACGGCGGCATGCGGACGTTAAAAGAATTTGGGGAACGAAGAAGAAAAGTGATAAATGAGCTTGTCTAGAAAAAAGACATCTTAGATCCCTCTCCATTTTTTCCCCTTCAACCTTCCTTTAAGTACAGGATAAGTTCGATTTTCAGATACGCTTTATTTTCTATAAAGATTCCGAAATTTAGAGATTTAGTAGCTTGGTGAAAGGCAAAAATTTACAAGAATTTTTTAATGCCAATCTTATCTTAAAATCGAGAATAAGAAATTTAAATATTGACAATTTTATAAGATTAATTAGATAAGTTTAAATAATTGTATTTTTTTAAATTAAATATACCTTTAAAAAGAGATTAATCTTAAGTTTTCTGGTACATAAAAACAACAGTTTGCGTGACAAAAATAAATATTTAATAGAAATAGCGTGAGATCTCCTTGATGTTACTGTAATATAAATCAACATTTTTCTAAGATCAAAGCTATTCTATCCGCCATTTTGTTAGAGAAAAGAAATATAAAATAAAAAAATAAATGCTAGAGTTCACGTTTCCTTTTGAGATAATTAAAGCACTTCTTTACTATTGAAACTTTTAAAAAGAATAAAAAGAAATTATCATTTGTTATGTAGAAAGTTAATTTTCAAATTGATATAAACTTCTTATTTTATTTTAATTTAAATTAGTAAAATTACTTTAAAAAATAAACTTTTTAAAGCTATAAAAATGTTTTCAATTATAATAAAAGACATTTTGCTCCCATGTAATAAAATCAACTTAAAATAGCTATTCTATCTTTTAATGTCCTTGTTTTAATAGCTCTATTATTAGGTTGTTATCAATGTAAATATGTTTCTGTAAATAAAAAAAATTTATTCGTCTTTATAATTACAGCCTATAAACTTATAGTTTATGTCAACAAGCATCTGAATCTTTTTAGAAGTTGCATAAAGATCATAAAAATCATTTGTAAGCAAATTACTTTCTTTTCTAATAAATAATATATTTTGTTTTTAGATAATATAAATGAACTGAAAAGAATTTATTGTTATGTTTCATAAAACTTCATATATAATTCTGTTATGTTTCATGTTTCATTCAATCTTATATTATTATGTGGTTATTTTAAGATGCATTACAAATATTAACGATAATCTTCTTGATATATTCATACTTTATTTTAAATTAATTTTATTTTATTTATTTTTCTATCCTGTTCTTATAATTTGATTACTTTTATGTAATATTTTTACAGGTTAAAGCGGCATAATTATCATATAATCTATACATTTTAGTGTCTTTATGCTTCGTAAAATATAGATTCCGAGCAATTATCTAGATGAAAATTGAAGCTGAAACTATTTTACTACGTAATTTCTTCATTTATACTTCGAAAAAAGCGAATAATATATAATGTATGTAAAACAATATTTATTTGCATTTATTATTAAATAATAAAAAAGTAAGATCTCTGTACAAATAAATGATATCATCAGTAATAAAATGAACGACTTTTGTGCAGAAAGAAGTAGTAGTATTTTCCAACCAGTCTTCTTAACACACGGAAGCAAGATACCTCAATACCCAGTTGGTCAGGGTCAGCCATTAAGGCTGTGAAAAATCACTGCAGACTTCATTTGTCTCAATTACCATGACGTCGAAATTGCACGCTGGTGCTGCGGAGACATCTTTTGCGGTTGTGTATGTCTTCCCCTAGAGTTCTTCCACCTCCCTAGAACAGCAATCACGTCTCGCCACTTAAATACAAAAACCGCAATTGACGTAGGTCGTGCGTGACCGCTTATAATGTAACAGCGCAACCTAGCGGAGACGAAACAAGTTAAAGAATTTTCAAACATATTACTTTTATTTTTCAATAGAGAAAAGAAGGTGTATAATAAATTAAAATGGCCTTCGACAATTGTCGGAAGTGTAATTCAAAAAGTAGTCAACTCTTGTAAACGTTTGTTGAATTAACCAAGGACAAAAATATCCTATACATACATACATATATACTGTATATATAGGCCTATATAAATATGGTATATAAAGTTTCCTTCCTGAATATATTTTCTGTGTAATTTTACATTTATTTATCTATAAATTACAGTATATACATTTTGATTTATAGAATCATTTTTAAATTGTTTTATTCGATGTTTATTCTAATGCTATTTTATAACATTTTAAAGTATTTTTTTCCATTATGTTTCAGAATTTTTGTTATTTTTTATTTTATATATTTTCTGCTTTATCATTCTTTCGTATTTACATTTTGTGCGTGTGTGTTTTATAATGTTAATACTTAATAACATTTTGACACATTTTTTCTTATATTTAACATTATTTCTATATAATTTTTTCTCAAGTATTGATTAATTTTGTTACACTTTTATTACTTTTATTGATTCTTTAATATATATTTAATGATTTATATGTATTTTAAAGCTTTGAAATTATTCTTAATTACATTAGAATTATTTTCAATTTTAAAAAGTAATCATTTCTCAGCAAGCATTAAGTGGTGAAGTATGATTGTTGTAAAAATTATATTAAAAAGTTCCTATTCAGCGCATAAATAAGAAAAAGTTTTCTCTGCAATTTTTTTAAAATTCTTTTTCTTTTTTATTTTATCTGTAAGGTCAATTTTGAATTTTTCTTTACTTCCTCATTTTTCTCCATCCTCCTATCTTTTCTAGTGTAAATCAGCAGGGAAAATGCTTATCTATTCTTTCTAATTATAGAAAGATCCAATTCAAGATCAACAATAACATAGACTATGTCGAGAACGTCATAGCAGAGTGGTTACGAACTAATTTGGAATTTCATAGGAAACAAAAACACGTTTCAAGAATTCGTAAATTGCTTCTTGATTCTGAAATAAGAGCTTAAATTTTCATATGGGAATTTTTTAGATAGAAATTTTTGAATTTAAATTTATATTTTTTTTCTTTTTCTTTTTACCCTTCTGTTGTTAAGTTCACGGATAGTTTTCATAAGCATGAAGTTATAAAACAAAATACGGTAGAGAGAAGCTTTATACTGAGTTGTAAAGTAGCATATTTAAATTATCAATATCATAAAATTTTAGTATTTAAATTAGTTTCTTATTTTTTACACATATTTATCGAAATAATTTTGAATGTATTATGTAAATACATCTACATTATAAATAATAATTATTAATGTCAGACTTTCAATTAAAATATAATAAAGTTTCAATATAAATTAAGTAGATAAATAGTATTAGCCTAAATATTAAATTAAATACTATTTTATCTTTTATATATTTATATTTGAATCGATTTTATATTAATTTTTTAAGATTAATTTAAAGTATTTTGTTATAAATTTCGAATTTTGATGTAATATAGTGAATAATATAGCCTACCTTTAATTAATTTTAAGAATATTTTAATACAGTAAACCCTCGATTTATCGAACTAATTGCAGGAAAGTGATGTCTGCTATTGTCGAAAGTCCGTCAAATCAAATATGTCTTAAAAACATATATTAATAACGAACTTAAAATTTGCAAGTGCTAAAATGCTATTATGATGTATGAGTAAAATACAGTAGTAATGTAATGTACTGTACAATAGCCTATATTGAGTAATTCATTCTCATTGTTCCAACCTTTTAGCATGTTCTATTCGGGAACAAAAAGGGTTTAAATTCTTTGTTCGTTATATCCAAAATCTGTTAAATCGAGGGTTTTCTATATTTAGAAATTATATAAGTTTAGCTGTTGAGTTTGTTCAAATTAAATCTAATATGATTAGAAACATTAGGCCTATATATTAAATTATTGATGTCTTAGTAAAGGGGAGGTAAGCAATAAGTTTGTAAATAAAATAATTTAAGAGTCTAAGTTAATAACACTTTATAATAGAAAAAAGAGGCGACTAAGAGTAATCTCATTTCATGATCTCTTTTAGTTATATTGACATCTCCTATGTTTAGCTAATCCATAAGTTTGGGAGGTGGCATTATCAAATATTGTTTTATTCAAAGCCGGAGTTTAAACTTAATTTTCGTTATTTCAATCATAACGATGTTGTAATAATTATTAAAAATTAATAATTAATATCTATTGTAAAATATAACAATTGGTATGTGCTGTACTGTGAGCTGGAACATTCAATATGTTAGAAATTATGATGATTAGTGTTTATTTTAAACTATAACAATTAATATCTATTATAAATCATGGTAGTTTGTTTACGTGAAAATAATAATAATAAATTAATTTCATAATTTCCATTGAACAATTTTAATGTGGAAAAATCTCTTGTACAACAATCAGCATTTCCCGCCGAAACATCGTTATACAAACACTTGAAAATTTAACATTATATTTTAAATCTTTTGTACACATCGTTGGGAAGACGATCTTTTGTGGTGCAAGTAGAAAAAAATTCGATATTAAGGAAGAGGTTTACAAGAACATATAAGGCATTTTGATTTGTGTCTTGTTTTTTTACTAGACTACAGGCATTGATAGAATGTCATATAATACAACTTTAACAGTGAGAAAAACCTCCTCCCATATATATAGTAAATAAGTTCTAGAGTACTTTATAAAGATCATTTACAAACATAAAATATTATCCGAAACTCGTATATAAACGAGCTTCCATTTGAGACAGGTAGAAACATCAGAGAAAAACTTTATTAAAAATTTTTTAAATTAATTTCTGAGCAAATTCTGACGTATTATCGTTAACTTTTTAGATAAATGTACACGTGTTTACTTACATAAGATACAGAATCTGCATATATATATATACATTCAACGCATATGATGGCCTCTTTCTATATGTCAAACCGTTATAAATTCTATATAGTAGGCTACGGTTTTGAAGGCACACATCCTGTCTTCCTTTATTTTCAAATATATATTTTATGTTTGTTCTTTGGATGAATAACGTTTGACCGTTTCCTTTGACGAAAGGCACAATATTCATTTATTGGATTCATTTTCCAAGGCACTTCACAAAAAATGATTATTTAACTTATTCTTACTAAACTCAATTCATTAAAATTATACTTCACTGTACATACAACCTCTTAAAACAACTCGTTTACAACATTTTATACAAGTAAAAATACTGATTATGATGATAGGAGGCAAAGAAAAAATAATATAGATAAGATGTAAATGTATACAGACTTTGATATAAGAGGTGTTTTCTTTAATTAATTGATAGAAAGAATGTCTTAAAAGCAGCTATAGCGTACTTATAAAACTAAAATAATGTATAAATTCGGATATGAATGTAAAATAGGTAATACCTTGTCTCTTCTTTGATTTAGGAACCGAGTAATATAAATTTTTAAAAATATAACCTCCATATAAAGTATCAAGTCTTAATTTCCACAAATGTGGAGTGAAATGCAAAAGTATTCAATAGTCAAAATATCCGAGTTCACATGATTTTCTAGTTACCTCGTTGTAGGCTTCATTTACAAACCCATGTTTCAGTATGAAGCTTCGAAACAGAAATCATCTTCACTTCTACACACTGAACGGAAAATTTTCACTCTTTATGTATTTGTAAATAGTTTTTGCTTCCTTCAACGAAGCAGACTTTTCATGTGATGATATTAAAAGTTAGACATCACAATCTACAATTCGTAGCAACAAAGAAATGTCTCGAAGTCTCTAGTCCTTGCAATATAGTTTTGGTTAAATCACGACATTATGTGTCGCGTAGCTGCTAATGCTTCGATAAGTGCAGAAGCAGATTCTGTAGAAGGCTCAGATTTTACTGTAACGTTACTCCCGTACATAGGCATAGATGATGTATTAGGGACGGAAGTATGGTTGGTGTCGTACGAGACATCCGACTGCGAACAGTCTTCTTGATGATAGATCGATGCTTCTCCTTCGCATCCTTGTTGATAAGAATAATGCGATTGGGCGTAACTGTAACCACCGGGATAATTTTGAGACGTCTTCAGATATTGCTCGAATTCATTTCTATCGACATCAGCTACATATTCTGAGTCCGTATACGACTGCTCATTGGAATAGTATGGTTGAAATTCGGACGGATGATAGTAAGAAGGAGGCCGATAGGCTGAAATCCCGTTTTGTAAGGCACACGATGGTCTATCTGAACAATTCGGTGATTTTGATTGGTGATAATAAGATTGTTGATTTATATAACCACAACCTGGTGTGTAACCACATGTGCCTGATGTAATTAAAGCTCTCAAAGTCGGTAAATTACTCGAAAGTCCTTGAGGACCCACAACTTGAGTCATACGATGCCGGAAGGGAGGACGGATGTTCTTTAAGAAGGTAGAAGATTCGCTAAATTTGGACATCAATTGGCTGACTGGATTCTCCACTGTAGGGCCGTGAGATAGATCAACAGCTTCTTTATTTCCACTGGCAAACTGGAAACCTTCTTGTTCACAAGGCTCTATAGGGGACATTTCTGGTGTAGGGAGAGACCTTATTAACGGATCAGCAGAAACAGGAGCAGATGGTGCTTCGGATTGCGCTGCGTATGAAGGTTGGTAAGAACTTTCGTTTCTTCTTGGATGAACAGCTTCAGAGCAAGGACTCCCATGAGGTGAAGATTCGGGTGTTTGGATTCCACAAAATTCAGAAGAATTCGGCATAAGATTGCCAGAATAGTTCATACCAATCTCTCCGGGAAAAGCATATTCTGCTCCTAAACCAGAAGAATATGATAATGATGATTGAGGAGATGATGGGGAATTTCCAGCAAGTTTTCGACTTCCACGTTTAGATGTTTTCCTCCGTCTCGGTCTGTATTTGTAGTTGGGATAATCTTGCATATGTTGCACTCTTAATCTCTCAGCTTCTTCAACATAAGGACGTCTTTCTTGGGGGGTTAAACTCCTCCACTTCTTACCTAAAATCAGAAACGTGAAAATTATCAAGTGATCACAGTTATACTAATGTTAAAATATAAAATATATATACTAAAACTAGATGAGATATCTATCATCCGAGCTTGAAAACATGTTTTTAATTACTCATAGAAGCATAAATATCTTAATTCTTATCTCGTATGAGATATGAACATTTACAGAACTGTCAACAATTTGTTAATAACGCATATACTTGACGTTTTATCACGATAGATCATCTTTCACGAACTTTTTCCTACATTAAATGAATCTAGTCTGAGATTGAAGTCTTCTTTAACTACGAATATATCATAATATTTATTTAACAATGCGTTTACAAGATAAACCAACATATATTTAAGTCTTCTCTAAAAGCAATAAATGTTCATGTTTTTCTAAAATTCTCTCAAATTAAAACATATTGTTTAATATATTAAACATCTCTACTAGACTTAAAAATAATGTTTTCTCAGTTAAGTAATAATATTATATAATTAATTTTTATTAGATTGACCTAAATCGATTGCAACATCCACTCTCTCTCTTTCTCTCCTGATAAATTAGTCACACTGTCTACCTAAATTTAATATTAAAATTGATCGTATTTACGAAATTTTCATAATTTTAGATTTATATTTATATGTCCTGTTATTATATAATTTTTAATGAGAAATTAATGATATAGGCCTAGTCAATTTTAAAATTTATTTTAGGTTCATTGCTACAGAGTTTTAAACGGAACAATAACATAATGAATGACAAAAGACAAATTTTTGCTTGTTGAGACTCCACCTCGCAAGAAAATAAATATGCGTGAAAAACGTGAATCACGATGAAAAGATGTAAAGGAAACATCCATGAATATTTCACACATGTGAGATTGAAGTTAGAACACTCCCCTCTTATTCCGATTTTGTAATTTTATACATTAAATTATGAAAATCTTTCTTCTAATATAAGATTATAATTTCTGTCGAGCAAAATTTAAGCTTTATATAAGGCATTTAATGTGTTATAATTTAACACTACAAAATCTTTTTTGTATGATGTTACATTTAAATAACTTCGACCTTAGAAAAAATATCCAATTTTTAATTGAATACTAAAATTGTTTCAGCTGATGCAACTACAATTGTTTTATTTGCAAAGTATATTTAGAGCTAAAAAATTCAAAAACTTCTTTCTCAAGTCAAAGATATTTCAGAGAAAATACATTTTAAAGCCTCTAATAAAGATAAAAGTATTAAAATTGTGTATTTTAAAAGCTAGAAAAATATATTATAAAAATATTATTTAGAAGAAAACGTTCTAAGAATATATTTTTTACAGGAAAGTTGATGAATAAACTATTAAAATTATACTTTTAAAGTCTATAATTGATGCCGTGCCTACTAAATGTGTATATATATAGGCCTATATATATTTAATGCCCAGACTGAAGACACACCTCTAAAAATAAACTTTTAAAGGTTCAGTTGGATGTTGCTTATATTACGCAAAAGAAATTAAAATTTGAAATTCTGGCAAGAAAAGAAGCATCATTTTTAAATTTAGTAAACCGTGAAACATTTTACTATTTAAAAAACTTTCATCTTCAAGGCACCCCATGGCCTAATTTTGACTGTAGGCCGAATATTATCGAAGTGCTTTATATAGGATGTACCGTAGAACTCATTTGATCGATGGTTAAGGGTTAGAAAAGACAGAGCCGCCGTAATTATGTCCTGGGCGGCTACCGTACGTGCTATGAGTGACGAATATTGTAGTCCAGATATTTCTTAGGTCGGTAGCTGTCGGCCGGACATCGAACCCAGTTTGTAGAACATCCAATGTAAAAATGCCGACTACAAACTTTGGGATAATCTCTAGCTCGAGGCTGAAACATCTGCATTTTTGTGATTCGTATCGAAGGGGGAGAGGAAAGGTTTTGTGCTTTATTTTTATCATTAGTTTCTATCTTCTTTATGGTACGTTTCTGATTAGTAGGCTATCCACGCAAAGGATGAACTTTCATATTGTGAACAACTCGTTAACTATTGGTTCTAAACGGTGATAAATAGACCTTTCATCGATAAGCTCTGTATAAATTTATTATAAAATTAGTCCGATGAAAAATAAGATCGCTAACAAAAAAATAAGTTTTAAAAATTTATGAAAATAAGAGTGTCATTTAATGGTAAACATTTACCATAAATTATCATTTTCTAAGCTTAATTAACGCGATACGCTACAGAAAATTAAACTTTTTAATTATTTTCGAAAATACACAAATTATTCAATATTTAGAGAATTTTTTATTATTATTTTATTAATTTAAAATATTAAAATAAATTAGTAATAATTTTTCCTATTAGTAAAATATATTTAGAATAATTAATTAATTTTAAACAATTCAAATTATAAAGCAATAATTATAGAAAGTATCACGAATTGTATTAAAAGTATGCATTTTTATATTTAGAAATCTTAATTAAAGCTATAAAGTTTGTTAAATTAATATATGAAATTTAAATACATTAATTTTTCGATTAAATCTGTTGTTTAAATATTTTTTAAAAAATGATTTTGTTTTTTTGCTATTTTAATGATATTTTATTATAGAGTTTCTGTTTAAATAATTAATCCCACTTAAATGACATCATATCTTTATAAGTATTAATATAAATGCACCATTTAAGGGAAGTTGTTGGTTAACTTCTCCATCAGAATTTTAAACATCTTTACCTTGGAATATATTCATAATGTGGAAGTTTTAACTATAAATCTGTCAAGTGCTAATTGCACACATGAGTTAGTTTTATTGCAGTCCTTAAAGGCAAAAGATTCTTAGTTGTCTCTGTTCTCAGAACGAGCAATATGGCAAAAAGAGGACACGCTTTTCTTCCATATTCCGTCACGGTCAGCTTGACTAGTAGGCCTACAAAATGACTCATAGTGCTCGGATAATTTAACGTTTGCAGGTGTTCCTTTCAACGCTCACACCCACCTACGAACAGTTCGTGGTGCTCTATAGTGGGTGTTCCCCAATTTCGACCATTATATGCCAATAATTATCCATGCATTTTTCCTCTTTAGCCTTAAACTATTCCATTAATTTTCAATTAAAATGAAATTATTAATACTATTTAGATTGCTAAATTATTGCTACTTCCTCCCCTATTAATTTCAAACTTTGTAAGTAAAGAAGTTCATTATCCATAATAGACAACAAGGTAACGGTTTCATAATTTTATTCATTATCTGTAGAGCATGCTTTTCTCCGACATTCGAGTCACGTGGGATGGGAAAATGCGTAACACGAGTAGCTCTAACGTGATCTATCGGTGTGCAGAAACGTCACGAACCGCTAAAACTTTGCACTTTCCTGTATGTGGGGTCTGTTATAACCTACGTCTTCATTAAGCCACGTTCTTCGATACGGCTCCAAGCTTAAAAATAATCGAATTTTCTTTATCCTTATAGGTATTTTTTTAACTGAAGGATATCCTTCACTTTAGTCACAACCTATATAACAAGAATATAGAAGGACGACAGTCCTAATTCCCAAAGAACTGGTTAGATATTCGGAACACAAAAGTAGGGTGTTTGCGATGGAAAAAAGAAGAGAAGGACACCTATCCGCCTACTATTTACACCCCACCTTTATTTTTGTAACTTTATAAACCTTCATCAAAATATCTGATAGTTTCATAAATATTGAATATTTACCTTCTTCAATAAACTATAGGACGACGCCCCGAAAGTCCTTCTTCCTTCAGAGTTCGACTAAAGTCAGTCACGATTAAAGGGCGGAGCCTGTGGATTTCGAAATTCGTGACCAAACTTTTGTACGTGTCGGATTTTACTATTCCTTCCATGATATTTCTGTTTGGTAGAAAACGCCCAGATAAACATGCTCACGATAAACTTTTTTCTTATTTTTTTTAATTTTTTGCTAATTTCAATAGAGTTATTTTGCTTGTATCAGTTCAGAATCTTTCTTATTAACTCTGATAAGAATGTTTGATACTTAATCGCTCAATGAATAATAATAATTGACGTGTTATTTACTTCTCATTATAAAGGATTATCAGAAGATCTTACCTTTGTCTTCCCACTTTTTTTTTTCTTCTTAAATATAAATAAAATTACATGCTCAATTTTATATATTTTAAAGTTGTTTTTAAGAGGGATAAACATCTTATTGTTTCTTACAAAAATTTTACTTTTATGACTTAATTAAGTAAAATTAGACTAATTTAAAGAAAGAATATTTAGGTTAATAGTTGTATACTTGTATAATTGTTTTCTTTTGTGTGGGATCGATATCAAATAAGCCTTTTAAGTTTCTAGTGATTTGCTAGATGCAAGTTATATATGCTTACATACAAGAATATAAAGAATTACGTGTTCTTATATATGATATCTCATATATAAAACACAATTCTTTCTGTAGTAACACAGTTTTTCTGTGTTATTAGAAAATGATACCATTCTTATTATATATTTAGATCTATTAACTACTCAATCCTCGCTATATGTTCATCCGACACAATAGAAACTGCAGTAAAGAACTTACAGCCTAATAAAAGCTAGCTATATATAGTGAAATCTTTCTATTTACTACCATAATTAGAACAGCAGGCCCACTTATAACAATATACAGTGTGGTAGTTATGTTATATATATATAGAAAATTATTTTGTAAAGCCGATTTTAAAACCTAAGAAATTGTAAAAACATATTGATTTACAATATAAAAGCATGTTATGTATAGTAACTTTACACGATAAAATTATAAATTTATACATACATAGACGAAGACATTTAATAAGTCTACATTGTATGGTTAAAATATGCATAATATTTATTGAAAAACACCTAAGTTATAAATATACGTACTATTCTATGGATATTTGTGTTTGTTAACTATTAAATACCTCTTATACTACTTCATATTTAGTCAGTTCGTAAGAATTCTCAGAAAATAGATTGCGTGCATTGGTAGACTGTAATATGAGAA